GTAGGTTTTCAAAATCTGGAGATAAAAGAAAGAATTTCAAGCATTTTTATCAAAAATTTTTATATCTAAAAAAAATTATAAAAAATTTGTATCAATTTGTTAATATTGATACTAGAGTGCTCTGGATAAATAAATACCTCACAAATCAGTGCTATTATTGCATGTATGCATGTTTAATTTCACCAAAAACTCCAAAATTAGAATTTTCTCTAAGAGATAATTTGTAAAAATTGTAAGTTTCTAATTTTTACAAAAACTTTATATCTCCATGAGCTTTTGTTCATTTTACTTCAAATTTAATATTCAACTATTCCAGAATCTACTCTAAAGACATACTTAGAAAGGTTTTTGAGATTAGTATAATACTATTTTGAGTAATTATTGCCAGAAATAAGGCATTCTCTAAAAATATATAGAAAATTATAAATGTTTAAAGATTTTTAGTAAATTTGTTAGTAAATAATCAAATTTACTTATTTTTTAATATTTAATTAAAGAAAATATGAATATAGTTCGAAGTATTCAGGATTGAGAAAATTTCCAAGATGCTCAAGAAAAAAGCTTATCATTTATAGTTTTTGTATTTTTTTTAACTAATAAAATTTATTAAATTATAACACACTTAATTTAGGCCAAAAACTTAATATGTTAGGCCAGATAAGTTTTTGACTCAACAGATTGACCAGAATTAAGCTTAATTTAGGCTAGTGAGTTATGAGTTGTCTAGGAGATAATTTTAACAATTATTTTTCATTTGATGTTTGATTAATATAGAATATATTAGTTTATTTAACATAAGAAGCATCAATTCATTTGACTATTTTAGATATACTTATTTTTACTATACTGTATATTATTTTATTATGCTGAATATATTAGCTATGTGGTAATACTCCAAAAAAGCTAAAAAATATTTTTCATTCTGATATCCTATATAAAATTAGCAATCTAGAAAGAATAGCTCTTTTCACTAGTTTCAAACCTGGGTTATTCTGCTTTCAGAGTGATATCCTAACCAGTAGTTTAGATCAGAATAATTACCAAATTTCAAAAATTAACTTCTTAAAAATATAATTTTATAGCTTGATTATCTAATTTTAAAATTTTCCCCATGTAATTTAAACTTTAAATTAGATATTTAATTATTCTTGTAAAGTAATTTTTGATCTATAAAAAAAAATTTAATATTATAAAAAATCTTTTATTAATAAAATCTTTAAAAATGTCTCAATCTCAAAAAGGAAATGACAATAGGCATCCAAAAAGACAAAAGTAAGAATATAAACTAAAATAAATTAATAATTAGTAATAATTAATAAATTTTATATATAATAGTAAAGACTTAGATAAGGGCAAACAAAAAAAGTAGTTGAGAATGTAGAGAATATAATAGAGAATTAATAATAGTAACAAATTTTAAATATTATAATTTAATATAATACTAAAATAATTTAATATAATAGTTGGAGTAAATAAGTTCTAGATAAAGAGGAAAAAAATTGAATATTGGAGTTGGAAGAAGAAAATAGAAGATTCCAGAAGATATTGGAGAAAGTAATAAAAGATATTAAGAGATCATATAAAAAATAAAAAATATATATATATTATATCAAACAAAAAAGAAATTTTAAATAGGATATATGGTGTTGAGAAATGATATGAAGGAGTTGTTAAAAACATTAAATATAAGAATAGAGACAGATAGAGATAAACAGAGGATAAGAGAGAGGTATCCTATAGAGGATTTAGTTTTAGATAATGAAGTTAATAAAAGTAGTAAAAATACAAAATGATAATAAAAATGTAATGATTTCAAATAAGTTTTCTTAATATTTTCTTTGTCTTGTTAGTTATATATATTAATAAATTTTTATCTTTCAATATTTTCTTTTTGTTAACTTCTAGATCTTTTTGCTATTTATATCTAAAATTTAAATTTTATCTATAGAATTAAATTCTAAAAATCTTATTAATAATTACTACTATATTGTGAAAACCAAATAAAAAAATATGATTCTTATATACTACTCTCTCTCTTTATATAGTTCTTCCAGAATTATATCTTATAATCTAATCAATTATAATTTAAATCTTCTTAAATTATTTATTATAATATTTAATTCTGATTTATCTATTAAAATCTTAATAAACTTAAGATCAGTAATAATTTGTATTTTAAAAAAACTCTTTCCTATTCAGCCCTGAAAATCATAATTGATAATAAAAAGTAAACAAATCATTAGTTATTAGTCCAAGTTATAAGTAAATTTTTAAAGCAAGTTTAGCCCTTTGGGCAAGAAGTATCACTTGGTATACAATAATTAGTCACTATAGATAAGATACAAACAAACCACAACACTCTAAAGACAAAAATAGTCCTAACTTTAGCTTCTTTGAAGCCCAATGACAGTATGTCACAACAAAAAACATACTTCCAATTGTTCCAAGAAAAACTATTTGGTATAATATTAACAGATGATAATTCACAGACCCTGAAGTACCCTCCTAACTGTTTGCATATCCAACACCACAAATAGTATCTAGTACCCTAACTATACTAAAAACCACCACTCCAACCTTCACTACAATCTTTATACTAAACTCAAAAGTGGGCAGTCTGGCTTACCACAGAATGCAGATCTGTCTGAGTTACATAATACAATTATAACATCACCTAACCAATTTCAAAATACAACAAACCCTAAAAAGGTAGACTCCAATACTGGTGCCCTAATTCCAATGCAAATTTTCTCATGATCTGAACAAAACAAACTCATTTCAGCTGACCCACATTCTCTAACTAACTCAGACCACAACCTGTTCCTATGGATACTAACCCTATCTACACACCCACCTGAGTACCTGTTGGATATCAACTTAAACAATTGACCAATCCTTTGAAACCTCAATTCTAAAGCCAAGTAGCTTGGAAATCTTTCAACCTTACTACCAACCTGTCTACAACAACCTCTGTCCTCTAGAACCAGTATATAGTAGAAGCACTTGCACAGAAAAAATCATCATTTGACACACAATAATGGAGCAATGACTGAATCCTAGAGGCCTTTAAAGATAAAGTAAACTTAACTGATTTCCTAAGACATAAGGTGAACTCAAAATCTACCTGTTACAACTTACCTCCTGCAATTAACTCAAAGTTCAACTTTCTTGATACAGCCTTCTTCAAATCTTTCACATGAATCAAAGATTAATCCCTCAACACCAACATGAATTTGAGATGTTATACAATATAATTCTAGAAAAGTACTAGAGACAATATGATACCTACTTCATTAACAAAACAATCGAAATCAAATTATGGAGAAACTGAAAGAAAAAATAACAATAAACTATATTACCAATATTGACTTTCTTAAAACGAATCCTCATCATATAACTAGAAAATTATTCTACTGCACTAATTTTGCCCATATTGATCTCCCTACAAGCTTTAAGAACATCAGAAATGTCATTAGAAAAGTTTGTCAGACAGACACGAACCATTACTACTAACTTTTAAAGCCGTTCAAGAGGACATACTATCTCTACTACCCTTTAAGTTACTAATTTAAAACTACAATCAAACTAAAGCAATAGTTGTAGTTTTTCGAAAAATATACAAGTTTGAACTTTGCCCTAAGAAATACTTTGTAACTCAATGCACCAAGCTCTCAGATAAACTCTCAAAACTCAACCTATCAGTTAGAGGCATTCTCTATTAATAAATGTACTGCACTACTATTCCTTTTGGAATACCACCATAAACTTTCAAATCTCTATAAACTTGATAAACACCTACCTGTTATCTATTTCTCATTTTGTATTCACTTTTTCTTCTTACTTTGAATTGCTTTTTTTTTGATAATAGAAGATTAAGCCTTATCTCCTAATAATACTGCTTTCAGTATTTCAACACCAAATAAACCTGGAACAAAAATAGTTTGTAATACATATTCTACTGACAACCATTGGGAAGCTGTAAAGCTAAATTAAAATCAAAGAGTTGGCAATGCCACTATTGTAAAAAACAGTATTCAATAAAAACTAGCAGAACACACTTAAAAAAACATGTTACTTTGTGATGTTCTAAATCTCTACTATCTGAGACTCAAATTAAAGCATTCTCTAAAATTACAAAAAATAAAATGGATAAGTCAATAGTTGACTTGGTTGTTAGTACAAAAATGTCCTTTAATATTCTTGATAATCTATTGTTTCATCAAGTAGCTAGAATTCTTTGTTATGTTAAATATTCGTATAAAATTCTACACTCAACAACAATATCATGACACCTTTATAGACAATATATTCAATTTAAGATTTGACTTTATTAAGAATATACTAGCAAAGTCTTCTAGCTGAATTTTACTAACATGTGATAAGTAGCATTTAACTATTTATAGGTGTCACTATATTGTTGTTATAAGGGCATAAATTAGTGATAATTGAAGAGTAATTAATATAATCTTAAGTTTTCAAAAATCTGGACAAATAGCAGAGGATATATTGTCAACAATAATAACCACTTTAGAAGTATATTTATTAAAGAAAAAATATTTGCACTTACTATAGATAATACTACTATGAATAAAGCTATAAGTCAGTTGCTCAAGAACGAGTTGTTAAATCTAGAATTAATATCAATAGGTTTGAGTTTTTATATACAGTATATTTATTTAATTTTTTTTAAAATAATAATTTTTTAATTTTTTTTTTTTGTTTTTAGGATGTATGTGTCACATCCTTAATCATATAGTTAAAGAAGGTTTAAAAGAAATAAGCTCATTGAAAAAGAAGGTTCATAAAATTATAAAATACTTATCTAATCCCTTAGCTAGTAGTAGAATAAAAATGTTAAGATCATACTGTCAAATTTCTAGAATAAAGTCTTTACAATCTATTCTTGAAATAGATATGCATTGGAACTCTACACTGGCTATGTTTGAGAGATATATTCATCTACATCTAGCTATTGTGAGATGTGTTTAAAAGAATTCTCTATGCCCTCTTGTTTAGATAATGAAGAGTTTGTAGTACTTGAATCTTTCTGTAAACTCCTCAAGCCATTTGAAAGTGCCACATTAATACTTTAAAAAGAACAATCTAGTTCAATTTCTGATGCAGTAATGGTAATATTAGAAATTGGTTAATATATTAAAAAGCTAGCATAGAATAGATTATCATATAAAGAAAAAATTTGATAAATACTGGGACATAATTATTAATCAAGTCATAATTGCACACGTACTTGATCTAAGATATAAGTTGAAGCATTTAAAAGTAACATTGATTGAAGTTGGTGGATATAAAGCAGAATTGTTTGTTAATAATATTCAGGAAAATATTATTTCTTATAGAATGAAATATACAAATACAGAACCTCCAAATATTGAAGTTTCTGAAGTTTCTAAAATCGTTAATATTAATGATAAGTCTACTTCTGATTTTTTATTTTCTGAAGGAGAATTTCAAAAAAAAAAAATACAATAACACAATTGAATCTGAATTAGAATTATATAAAGATGACTCTTGAAGAATTTATAAACAACAATGAAAAGAAAAAATAATAGAATAATATTTTGGGAATCACTATTAAAAAGATTTTCAACACTTGGTAGAATAGCATGCAATTATTTAAGCATCAAACCTTCAAGTATTTCTAGTAAAAGTAACTTATTAGTTTTTTTTTTTTTTTTAATAATTCAGCAATCTTGCCTCAACTTTATTAGGCTAAAATATTTAACTTATGGGTAAAATATCATTTTTGCTAAAGTAAACTAAAGCATCACCTAAGTTACAAGTTTCGGCTAACCTGGTTTATTGTGACACCAAAGTGCCCAAATCACCCATGTTCGATCTACTATAGTAAAGTTTATCTCAATATCAAAAAACCCTGCAAGTGAATTCTCTGATATATTACCGAATAGTATTTACGGCCTATCAAGACTGCCATCTTTTCTAAACCTTCTTCCCCTAGCTTCACGAGCAGAATTATTCATAGTCTCTAACTGACTTATAAAAAAAAAAAAACACTAATACTAAAGATAAAGAGAACAACACGAAAAGGGTGAAAGAAAAAAACTTTCTAAGCAACAAGAAAACAAGCAAAAAAAATTGAAACAAAAAGAAGAAGGCAGAAAAAAAACAATCTATAAAAACACTATTATAGCCTGTGCCAAGCACAGTTGTAAAAATTATATACTAAATTTAAAAATCTTGTATATCTCTATTATAAAGCTTTGCCTTATCATTAAGTCTCTTCTGATTTTACTGTCCGGTCTGGGTTGGTTTGTTAACCAGAGCGCCAATTGGTTCGTCACGTGGTGTAAGTAAATTTATATTCTACTTTGTCCATCTGAAAATGAAAAGTGTAAACAATGCCAATTTTTTGAAGGGGGTAAGCTGAATTGTCCGCTTTTTGTCAAAATTTTGGTGAGGTTGACAAGAGGTGGTAGAGGTGATAAAAACCACTAGTTCTAAACCAAAAGAGTGTGTATACTTTTCTTGTCAAGTATATCAGTGACTTGTTGACCAAGTGAAGGGTGGGTATTTAAAGAACATTAAAGAGTGAGTGATAAACTCTAAGCTTGTTGGCAAGTAGAATATAAGAACTACTTCTAAATGACAAGTGCTCTCATTACAACAGTGAGTGATAAACTCTGGGCCTGTTAGCAGGTAGCATATGAGAACTACCACTAAATAACAGATGCTGTAGTTCCTCAACTTATCTTACTTATTACTTTTTTAACTAGTTATAATGTATTTATTAAGGAAAGTTTTAGAAAAAATTTAGAAAAAATGACCATTGGAAAGAGTTTTGCAAATATATAATGAGAAGTAACTTATCAGTTATAGCAAACCTTTTTATTGAATGTATAGTATAAATGTTGCAAACTTAATTAAATTGTGTATTGTAAAGGTAATAAAAAAAATTATATTTTTGCATTTTTAATATTTTTGTGATTTTTAAAGCCTACATACAAGTTTATTTAAACTATATATGTATAATCAATTAAATATAAACTGCAATTATCTATATCTGATATTATATATAATATTAATAATAATAGTTTTTTGTAAATTAAATTATTTTTGCATTTAATGTTAATATAATTAAGTTTGCAATGCTGGGCCCTTTTAATATGAGGCACCCATATAAACTATTGCATTATCATATTACCAGTATCTCGCATTGGAGAATACAAATATCATTTTTGTAATAATTATAAATTGATTTTTCTTTTAAAAAATTAATTTTTTTTACTGTTTAATATGTATTTACTAACATTTTGAAATTTTGACTGAAATGCTTACTTTAAGTCGCAAAATATGAAAACAAATAATTGAATTTTTTTATTTTATTTTTTTTTTGTAAGCATATAAAATTTACTAATTATTTAGCAACTTAGCGATAATATTTATTTTCAGTATTAGCAAACTAGCACCTATTACAGTATTATATCAGAGTTACTGTATGATTTCTGAAAGCTATTTTCTCAAAAGAACATAATACTAACTAAATTATTTCCTTTTAGAAAATAGCTTCTGAGAATTTGAGTTAATTATCTGTTATTGTATTAATATGTATTAAAGCAAATCTATTAATTAGTAGTAATTTTATTTATATTCTGATATAGTTGCTTGACCTTCTTGAAACCTTCTACAACAAAAAAAATGGTTGAAAAATATTAAATCAAATTTCATGCCAATTCAAAAGATGATAGTGACATAAAGAATTTGAACCAAGCAAAAACCTTCAAGAACCTGGAGCACACAAAATAAAATACTTTTTATTAGTAAACTTAGAATTCGCAAAAATTTTATAATATAGTAAAATTGCTTATTAAATAAATTTTGAATAACCACTTTTTCTTGATGTAATAAAACTTTATAATATAGTATGTAAAGTTAGATAATAATTGTTTTTCATTAACTAGTTTTTTTTTAATATAATAAAAAATTTTATATAATGATAATTTTCATATATGTATAAATAAAATCTTAGATTAGACTTTAAACAGCGATTACATAATTGATTGTGGTGGTTATGCTAGGAGTGCTTGCTATAACTTGAATTGCTATAACCTTTTATATTTCTATAATTTATTGTTGTTGCTGTAACTTGTTCTGCTATAACCTGTTATATTACTGTTGTACTATCATAACTGTTAATTGCCATAACTAGTTATATAACTATATTATTATGACACTTTCGACATAATATATAGTATATATCCCTATACCATGTCTATGCTATACCTATGTCCATGCCCAAATTTTTTTGCCCATGCCCATGCCTGTGCCTTCTGTTGGGCACAGGCACAAGCCCGGGTTGCAGACTCCTACTTATATAAGCTATTAACTCATACAGCAATTATAATATAAATATATCTATCTCATATAAAATTTCTTTCTAAATACACATTTTCTTTCTTTTTTTTCATGTTTTTTTTTTCTTTTGTTATAGTTCATAAAAAGTTGGGTTAAAAAAAATCTAGTTCTTTATGTGTATACCCTCTCATGAACAATGATTTTCATATAACATACATGTGAAAAAACAATATTTTTCAAATTTCCTGAATTCTCAAGAACTACTCTCGTCGGGTTTTTAAATTCAACTAATCTAACTTTGATGATTTTTGTAGATGAAATTTGTTATTCACAGATTCTTAAAACAACAAAATGATTGATAAAAAATGTAAAGAACCCTCGTGATGGCTGATAATTTATTAGAAAAAAAAAGATATTATAGTTATGAATTATAAAGAATTAATAAAATTTTTATAAATATAATACCACGTTCTTGATTATACTATTTAAGTTGTATAAATTGACTTAAGTTATTCTGTCTATAATATATAACTCAGGTTTGGATCTAATTTTATTTTATTTATTATATATCTTCTTTTAATATTATTAGTGATCATTTGTTTAGTGTTGAACGATGATGTCAATATGCCTTACATTATTTATATGCATGATTTGCATACATATAACAATCACATATCAGTCGATCGAGATGTTATGCAGATCACTTGATTAAATTTTTTACTATGAAATTTGAGTGATCAACACTCATATAAAAATTTAATTTTCATAGTAAATTGCAACGGTTAACCATTTTCAATCATTGTTTTCAGAGGTTTCTTAAAAGGAAACTACACTCACGGAATGCAGTGAGTATTCAAAAAGTTAAATATTATGCGATGAGTAAGTTTAAACCAAGATAAAAAAGTAAACTCAAAAGAATCTTGCTCACAAAGATAGCCTTTTGTTTTATATTCTATAACACACAGTATAGTAAATCTTAACATTTCGCTGATTTACGAAGGTATTTTATATAATATAAATATTCTTTAACAACTTTACTTCGATTTTAAAAGCTTTTTAACAAAAAAAGAATGAAGTTCTAAAATATTGTAATTATGTTTTATTGTTAGAGACAAACTGTGTTGAATCAAAAGATTTAACCAAAAAAAATTATTACTGTAGTATACGATGTGAACTATAATTAGGCTCGTTAGAAAATAGTTTAGTTGTACTATACGAAACATGTATTACTGTATTAATTGAATTAATAAAGGCCATGGTGTATAAATTTTGTTTTTTTATTAAAAATAAAGCTAATTTACTAATCATATATAGTAGATAAGAACAAAAAAAAAACAGATGCAAAAAATCAATTATCTCATGAACCATTGATCAGAATTATATAATTTTGATACCATTCAATTCGTCTCATTGAGATGAGTCGAACAGTACCAAAATTATATATTCTGATCAATGGTCCATGAGATAATTGATTTTTTGCATCTGTTTTTTTTTGTCAAATTCGTCCTCTTTCTTAGCACCAGACCCATATTATCATTATGAATTCTTGTAAAGCATTGTTCATGCAATAAATTATAACACAACAAATGTGTAAATATTAGAAGAATATAATTTTACCGTGGATATAGGTTGCTATATATTAAAAAAAAAAAACCCTTATTAGCAAATTGCAATCTATATGCTGCAAAATGGTTTTTCTTAATTTATTCTATAATTTTATAAGATACCCTTCATTCAAAGATGCATTTCACAGGAAGTTCTCGCCCGTGCGCATCTAACAAGCCATTTTTTATGTCAAGATCTTAAAAACTCCAAAAGAATCTTGCGAAAGAAGGCAAAACAATTGCCCATCTTCGAAGGGGTATCACATTACCTAGTAACGTTAGTTCTTCATATTCTTTATGCTGTTTGGTTTGTTGGAGCTCTGGCAACCTATTTCTTAAGAAAGTTATGTGTTGTGATTAAGACTTGGGGAAAAATTTTTTAAAACGTGATTTCGTCGATTTGTGTAATTTATGAAAATCATATGATAAAAAATTAGGTGTGACATCTCGATCGACTGATATGAAATGTCATGTGCGTACGTACTACTAATTAATAATATGACATGATTCTATATCATATGATATGGTAATTTATATAATTATATAATATATGAG